CGGCTGAATGGTTTGTTTTTTTTTTACCTAAACTGAAGAAAAGAAAAAAAAAAGGAGAAAATTAGTCGGCTGTTTGTTACGTCATCACGACCACGCGAAACAGGTTTGCCAATTTGCACTCACTTCAAAAAAAAAAAAAAATTAAGAAAAGAAAAGAAAAAAAAAAAAAATTTTTTTTTTTTTCTTTCTCTCTCTCTCTCTCTCTATTTGTTGTTGCTTTTCCAGGATCAAGATTCGTCTTCCGTCTCGGATTCTTCCATGTGAGTGAAAAACGATGTGAGAGAAGCGACGCAAACGGCGTGACCCTCTTGCTCTTGTGGATTTTTACAATTTCGCCACGTTTTAAATGTTTCGCTCGCTATCAACGTCGAATCCCACAAATATTGGAAAATGTTATGGAGAATGGCTTGCGGGTATTCCAACTTGTGTACAAAAGCTTGAACGGCGTAAAGACATGGTAACTCTAAATTTTCCTGTTGATTCGTATAACGTAATATAAGGCATTCGTAGGATGTTAAAAGCTCTTGATCGAATTTATACGACGACGAATTTTGACCTTCTATTCAAACAAAAAAAGAGAGATAGAGATATATATATATATACAAACTGTTAAATAAATATATATATCGAATCAAACGATTCGATATATCGATATATCGATATCTTACTCGTGACGACGGCTTCCAACAAAACTGTCATGAGAGTTCTCACAAACGACGGTTCTTTACTTTCTTCTCCTAAATTTTTCGACACCCACGTCATTATTTCGTTGCAATTGACTCTCGACGATATCAATCGACTCAATTCGCTTTTAATGTTTTTACTCAACATGAATTCCACGTTCTGGAAAATTCCCCCGAAAATCAAAAAATAAAAAATAAATTTGCTACGGTTAATCGCGAGAGAGAGAGAGAGGGGAAGGGGGAGAGGAGGGGGAGGGGAAAAAACTCACGTTTTGCTTGACGAAATTATTAACGTCTTTTTCGTTGATGAAATCCGTGAGCGAGACTTGCGAGTGAACCCAACGATCTTTGACCCAACTCATATCCTTCACTTCGACCAATAATTTTATCAATATCGATAAGAATTTGGCACTGTCCTGGGATCCCTGTTTGGGAGCCATCGCGTTTGCAACATCCTTGAAATTGATCACTTCCTTGGCGCACATTTCGACCAATATCTCCGCGAGGTATTTCCAAAAGCAGGGCATGTCGAGAAGGAGTTCGTCTGATGTTTTCACCAATTCCGACAGCCTGAAAAATCATTAAAAAAAATGATAATGATGATGATGATGATTTACCTGACGTACACCCTTCTTCTTCTTCTTCCCCACCCCCACCCCTCTAATTCACCCGCATGCTTACCCCGTGAGAAATTGCTCTTTGGAAATACTTTTACACGTAATGAAATAATTCATTAAAACCCCGACGGCTCTCTTAGGTTCGGATCCTTTTTTCTCCAATACGTCATTACATATGATTCCAATGAAATCGTTTATGAAAGCGTTTGGAATTTCTTCCAATTCTTTTAACGCGTACTGAAAGAAAGGAAAAAAGGAAAGAAAATATGACGTCATATCACCAAGAGAATCAAGAGGGAGAGATAGATAGAGATAGAAAACTCACATTTAAATCTAAATTACTCAAATATTCTTCGAGTAAGCATTTCGTTTGTTTGACCGCGTTTTCGTAGCGTTCTTTGGACAGAGTATCCGGTGGAGCCGGAGTGACCGGAAATGATGGTTGATTTTTACCACTGTTCGATTTGTTATTCGTCGGACTCATGAACCTGTTGTTGTTATCACGTTTCGACGATGCCGATTCCCTCGAACTCGATCTCGAACTTTGATCCTGATGACTTTTACTCTTGGACGTTCTAACATCATCTGAGGAAAATTTTAAAAAAAAAAAACAAATTAGTAGTTTCGGGGAGAGGGGGGGGGAAAGAAAAAAATTTAAAAAAAAAACCGGAAAGAAGCTGCTTCTCATTTTTTTTCTCATCGATTTCTCTTCAATTACAAAAATTAAGATCACTACTTTCATTATTCATTTTACGTAATCATCGAAGCAATATATTCGATTTTTTTTTTTATAGATATCGAGAATCTCGATCGATACACGTTTCGATTTAAATCGACGAATCGATTCAAGTCAACTTACCATCTAACAATTTAAACGAATTCATTCCATCCTTTTCCATTGATGAACCTTTCGAACCCGAACTTCCAATGTTCGAAGTTGAAAGTACGGCAAATTTATTCGTGCCCAATTGGGATAAAGACCTTTTGTCGTCCATTTTACCACTCGAAGCGTTTGGACCCCACATAAACAAATTCCTACAAGGAACAATATAATATAAACATTCACGTGGTCAAAGGATTTCATCATCATCATCATCATCATCATCACCATTCCGACGCACACGCACACGCACACGCACACACGCACGTACCTATTTCCTAAACTTAACGTCGATGCGACTTCAACATCGCTCTGATCTAATTTCAATTTAGATGATTCTACGACTAATCTACTCTTATTAGGTTGAGAATTCGTGACCGTCGTCCATCCGGAACTGTCGGGTGTGCCCCCTGAGAGCAAAAAAAAAAAAAATCAATCAATCAATCAATCAATCAATCGATCGATCGATAATCGAACGAATTGAAATAATATATATATATATAAACAATATACAAACTTTTTCTACCGTCGACCGAATTCCTCATGTCCTGCCTTTTGTTTCTATCTTGAAAAGCGTTCAATGCTAAATTTTGTAAATTTTCACGTTCGGCTTCCTTCTGGATTTGATCTATCGTTTTAGGTTGAGACTCGTTTCTGATTGGAAAAATACAAGAAAATTTTTTTTTTTTTAAATTTAAAAAGAGAGAGAGAGAGAAAATGGTGAAAAAACTTTCACGTGTACGCATATTCATCAGTAAAAAAAAAAATAATTTTACACACTCGAATTCTACAAAGAGAATTCATTCATGGGTAGAATAATGTAGGGAGAAAAACAAAACATCATCATTTTAACGTACGTCGAATGAGACAGAGAGAGAAAGAGAAAGAAAGAGAGAAAAAAAAAGGCACAAACCTTCTCGGAACCCATTTATTTGCTCTCAAATCAATTAAATCTTGAATCATGAATCGAACTCGACTAGAAACCTTTCCCGACCCTTTATTTTTGGCTATGTCGTTTAATTTTTTAAAATAATCGTTCAGGTCCGGCAACTGTAAAGAAACAAAATTTATTTAAAAAAAAAAAAAAAAAAATACTCATCGGTGTGGCGAGTCGTCACCCTCCTCCTTCTTCTCCCCCCTCACCTTATCTTTATCTTCGTTTCCTTTTTCACTTTTAGATTTTCCTTGATTTTCCAAACCCTGACCAATGGTCGTGAGTAATTTGCATAAACATTCTAAACTTTCTTCGTCTCCCTGACCGAGCAATTGAACAATGCAATTGTGCATTATCCTCGCCGTCAACATTTGCAATTTGTATAGTTCTCCGATGAACCGAGTGTTACCCACGGATCTCATTCTTATCCGTCTTTCCTCTTCTTCGAACGCCAATTGCAACACTTTTTTCTTATCCGGATCCGTTTCCGATTCTATTTCTTTCAACCTTTCGTCCCGTTTCAATTCCGCCGCCGTGTTTTTCTCAAATTCTTCCTGACACTTATTGAGCAACAATTTTCTAAAATTTTCCGGTTGGTTTTTCCCCGCTTGACGACTCTGATCGCTAGGAACTTCCATTTTATGGAGGGTACGACACATTTGAGCGTAAGCCACCGAAAAACTTGGTTCGTCGACAGCCTGAAATTTAAAAAAAAAAAAAAAAAAAATGGCGAGATGAAGAGAGAAAGAGAGAGAGAGAGAGAGAGAGAGAAAACAAATTAATAATAATAATAATATTAAAACCCATTCGTAGCATCATCAGTATCCTTTTGGCGTAAAAACGTAAACTCATTGTTTTCTCTTAAACTCGACGTTTAATTAATTAAAAGATTTTCATCATTCATTACGCGCACGTAATGGGTTCACAACCACAACAAACAAAATTTAAGGTACAAACCTTTTTGAAGACTAGGTCAATAACGCCTTTAAGACGCTCTGAACTATCAATTGGAAGTGTTTGAACCTGAGCAACGAGTTTACTAAATTTCTCTGGAGTCAACTTGTTCAGAATGCCTCTGACTCGTTTATACAATGCCTGGAAAATGATAAACACATCATTATCATTAAAACATTTACCGGGGGGAAGGGGGGGGGGCGAGCGAAGGGCGAAAGGGAAAAAACGACAAAAAAAATCAGTCCTGTTGAGCTTGAATAAAAAAAACAACTCCATCATGGTGGCATAGGTTAAATATTTCATCATCAATTTTGTCGTTTTTTTTTTTTTTTTTCTCTTTTTTCTTTCCTTTTTCTTACTTTTTTCCTCCTTCCATGTCTTTCCCGAAGACGTGGAGGAATCTCCCCTCTATAATTCTTCCCTTTCCAATCTTTTCTATAAATATTCTACGTCATCGTACATTTCCATTAATAATAATAATATTCCCCCCCTTTGCTCTCGCTTCCCGCCCCCTCCTCCCCCATTCCCTTCCTTTCATTCTATTAATAATAATAATAATAATAACAACTAACCCCTTTAAACACAAAATCTACTTAACGCTTCTTCCAAATATAACCGCGATTAAAATTTTAATGGAAACGGATGATGTAACCCCCTCCCCTCCACACCTTTAACATTAAAAATATCCCACCGAGTGTAATATTAAAAAGAACCACAAAAAAACTTAAAACTTACTTCAGTCTCGACTTCTTCATCAGTCCTATTAACAGGTTCGGTGATGCGCGTCGGTTTCCATGCATTTTCCGTCTCATGAAGTTTGACGTCTTGCTGAAGTGAGACTTGAACAACAGTCGGTTTAGCTGCTTTCGTTTTTCCCTGTTGACTTCCCCGCTTCGGAAGAGTTTGCTGTTAAAAGAAGAAGATGGAAGAAAATTAATAACCACCTTACCAGTTTCTCTCTCTCTCTCTTTCTTTCTCTCCCCCCAAAAAAAGTAAGTGAGTGAGAGTGAGAGTGAGAGAGAGAGAGAGAGAGAACCAAGTAATAATAATAATAAACTACTACTACTACTCACGCCACGTTGACTCGAATTTTTATTCGCAAACGATGGATATATGTTATCGACGTGACTTCTATTCATCGAATTGATGGCGTTTCTATCAAAAGGCCGCTGTTTGTTACTATCGCTTAACAAATCTAAACTTGGAAAATTCGGAGGTTTACGCAAGGATTGCGGTTGATTTTGTAAACCCATTATGAATTGTCTGTCGTATTTTTTTTTACCATCCGGATTAAGAGGACTCCATTGATCTGTACAACAACAACAACAACAACAATAACAAACACATACATACGTATATACGACTTTAACTTATTAAATGACGTCATACCCACGTCACCGCTTTCAACTCACCGCTTTCGTAATTGTATTTTAAAACTATTTTATTAGCTATCGCCGGAGCAGCGTCGTTTGTTTTAACCGAAGTAGTAACCGTCGTCGACGACGTCGTCGTCGTCGTCGTCATCGTCGTCGCCACCGCCGCCGCCGCCGCCTGCTTATTATTTTCATTTTTCGCGGCTACCATCAAATCTTCTTTTTCTTTGCTGTCGTCTTTGGCCGTTGTTTCTTCCGCCGGCTGCTAATTAAAAAAAAAAAAAAAATTAATGTTACACGGCGTCGCGTTTGTTTGTTTGTGCTCGTTAACAATCATAAATTTATTTAAATCATCAGAATCCTTTTGGCAACGAACACAAAACTTTATCATAAAAAAGCTTTACTATCGTCCTAATGTTTTTTGTCATCATTAACGCTAGTAGAAAAGGAAAAAAAAAAAAAAAAAACCGGTTTAGGTGTCTCTCGCATATTGACAGTAGTAGTAGTAATAGTAGTGGGAGTGCTGACATGACACGACTTGGAACATGACTAATTATCATTGTTCTACTTAAGTCATTTTCCAAATTGAATTTTCACGACAATTTATCATCATCATCATCATCATCATCATAGTTACCAACCTCGGTTTTTTCACCCTGATCGTTAATAACTGTTCCAGCGGATGATGCTGTACTTTTTTCCGGTGCCGGAGGAGGCGCGGACGGAGTCGCTTCGACCGCGGCAGGCGTGTCCGGCTCTGCATTTTTCATTTCTTTGGACTCCAACCTCATTTTGGACTGTGCCGGCTTCTTATTGCCGGGCTTTGACTTTTGGTTGTTTGACTTAGCTAAAAGAGAGAAAGAGAGAGAGAGAGAGAAAAAAAAATTATTATTATTATTATTATTATTAAACCCAAAGCCAAAAGCGTAGCTTTCATTCATTCATTCATTCTTCTTTTTTATCGATATATCACGATAGAAAGCCACGGAATTAAACAATTTATTACCATCATCATTATTATCATCATTATTTCTAATAATAAAGAAAAAAATTTTTTTTTTTTTAAATTACACATTTGAAATCGGCCAAGGCCAACCTGAAACATCCTCTCCTCCTCTTCCTCTTCCTCCTCCTACTCCTCTTTCGCGAATGAATTTATTACCATTTCTGGTGTGTGATAAATTATAATGAAAAAACATTATTATTAACTTACGATGCATGTGTGGAAAAAGGAAAATCGAATCGACTTCCCTTCCCTCCTTAAAGCCGCCCCGTTATTTTTTTTTTTTTTTTACATCTATCATATACCGGAGTAAATATCAAACAACAACAACAACAAACAACAAAAATGCATTTATATTAGCTATGAAAAAAAAAAAAAAAAAAAAAAAAATTAATTAGCCTGTTTTTTCTTTCCCTCTCTTTCTTCCTTCCTTCCTTTCTTTCTATTTTTTAAAAAAATTATTCATTTGCTGTGTTATCGTTTTAAAAATAAATTATTATTATTATTATTATTAAGAGGAAGCTGTTTTAATTTTTTAATGTTTTTTATGTTTTTTTGTGCGTGTGTGCGTTAGTCTTCGTCAAATGATATATATATATATATATATATAAATCTCCCTTTTTGACATTCAATACCTAAAAATAATGCCATATTACAATGAATTTCCCCCCCCCCCCTTTAAAAAAAAAAAAAATGCTTTTGTTACATTCATTTCGGTTAAAAATAAAACCATGCAACAAACGAATAACCAAACAAACAGACAAACAAACCCCCGTATTATTTTATAGGTACATAAAAAAAATTTTTTTTTTATTCGTCCAATACGGACGGGCGTTTTTCACATCATCTTCTTTGCAAATAATAATAATAATAATAATAATAATAAAATTTCATTCTTTGAAACGAATGACATCAGTACAACAACAACAAACAACGTATTAACGACTTTAATGCAGTAATAAAAGCTTATAAAGCAGGCAACAATACGTCATGTTACGTCACTTACAAACACACACACACACACACAAATTGTTACGGTTTTAATTGATTCTTTCTTAGCAAATCTGATTCCATCAGAGAAGGAGAGAAAGAGAGAGAGAGAGAGAAAACAAACAAACAAACAAAACACACGTAACAGAGATTGTTACATTTTAAACGCAGTGTTATTTATACGTTTTCACACGACAAACACTCCATTTACATAACATCATTTACGACGTGAACTCAACGACGTTAGAATCCTTGAAAGGAAAATGTAAATAATATTCATTAGTAATTATTATTATCATCACCATTATTTTTTTTGTAAAAAAAAAAGAAAGAAAAAATTGACACGGGCGCCACACAAAACGACGAGTGCGCAAAAACAAAAAACAAAACAAAAACAAACAAACAAACAAACGAACAAACGAAAGCGAACAATATTATTATGATGTTAACGCACGCACGCACTCACGCACGCACGTTGATTTGTTTTGAAATTCCAATTTCGTTACGGGGAGGGGGGGGAAGACTTTTCTCTCATTTCTCGTACCTAAAAACTCATTCGATGCGAAATCGTTTGATCCTCTTCGACTGTTCGGCCTGCTCGAAGATCTACTATTGGTACTCCTGTTGTGAGACCTCCGGTCCGTCCGACCGCTCCAACTTGATCGACCGTTATAGTTTGCATAATGTTCGTACCCGTTTGCCAAACAATTAGAACTTCTCCAGTCCTCCATGTTATTAATTTTTATTATTATTATTATAACAATCACTTATTCATATGTACGTGAACATAGAGTAAAAAAAAAACCAAAAGACACAAACTTGATTTCCTTGTATGAGTTTTTATCATTTTTTTTTTAAAAAATCATCATGTCACTTTTTTCTTTTTTAATTAATAAACACCCGCAATAATAATAATAATAATAAAATTCAAAATTTCAACATGTCCACATGTAAACACCTGCAAATTACATTTCGTTTACTTTACGTTATTCATTTAAGAAAAAAAAAACGTTTTTTTTTTTCGATCGTATGTCAAGTGCCGCGCCATCAAAAGATCCATACGGTTTACAACAAACAACCTTACGAGCCGTTTAAAAACTCAAACGCATTTACATTCATTATAGTTTTTATGAATGAATGAATGAATGAATGAAGAGAAAAATCCATTTTCCATCGTATTCAAAGAGAGAGAGAGAGAGAGAGAGAGAGAGAGAGAGATAGAATGAGATCATTTCAGATGATGATGATATGATACGCGAGACAAAATTAAATATGAACAAATTTATTTACATTATTAATACAATTCGAGGATTATTAATTTTACAATCGCATCATTTGCAGTGGGGAGAAGGAGGGAGGGGTGTGTGTGTGTGCAGGGGGGCGGGGGAAAGGGTGAAAAAAGTCGAAAAGATCATCGCACAAACGACATTTAAACACACACGAATTCAAATTCACCGACGACAAAATCTCAAATGCAAATGTTTCATTTTTTTAAATTACAAATGAGATTTTCACGACTTTCCTTCCCTTCCCTTCCCTCCCCTTCCCTCCCCTGGGCCAAAAGAAACCACAACGATATTATAATTCGATTTGTTTTTTAAGCGATTGCTCCAAGAGAGAGAGAGAGAGAGAGAGAGAGAGAGAGAGAGAAAACGCACGCATGATTTTCGTACATTCGTACGTAGCAAAAATGATTATCAAGGCCGTACGCCGTATCATTACCTTACAAAAAATAAAAAAAAAAATAAAAAAATCAACAAACAAAGATAGTCCGTGACTACTATAGATAAACCTAAAAAAACTTTAATTAAATTGATTAAAAGATGAACGAGTAGTGAGTGAGTGAGTGTGCCACGTCGCGTCTTCAAAATGTCAAACGACAAACAAAACGTATAACAAACAATCGATCACAGTCGATTTCTCTGGTGTAAATCGTCTTGTGTATGTATGCTGCGAGGTTTTTGTCATTGTCAAAGGACACAACATCAAACAAACAAACAAACAAACAAACGCCAACAACTTTTTTTTTTTTTAAAAAAAAACGCCACCATACTGTCATCCATTCCTCCTTTGTAACTGTCTTTTCTTCATCATCCCTCCCCCGCCCTTTCCCCCCGTAATAGTAGTACGAATTTATTCGTGAGTCATTGTTATGGGGCCAAACCAACGTCACCGTGCGAGAGAGAGAGAGAGAGAGAGAAAGCTGCTATACGCAGAATACTGATGTCCGTGTTTGTAGGTAAAAAAAAATAATTGGACCAAAATCAGAAATCCATTTTCGAAAGATCAAAGGACGAAAACAATCGCGATACTTCGACTCGAAACTTCTTCGAGTACTTCGATCGATCGATATATCGATATGCGTGTGAGCGTGACGCAAAAAAAAAAAAAAAAAACGCAATTTTTTTACAATTCGCGATCCAAAACTTTCTTCGTTACGTAACGTCAATATACAAAAATAAAAGCGAAAAGGGCCGAAAGAAATCAATTAACAACGAAATGGTCCTTAAACGAACAGGAACGTAACCGCCGCGCCCGCTGCCGGCGTTCGAATTTCCTCCCCCACTTCCTCCCTTCCTCCCCATCCTTTTCCATCGATCCGCATAAGGTAAAAAAGAAAAGAAAAAAAATGACTTTGACCACCTGCTCAAAAAAAAAAAAAAAAAAAAAAAAAATAGGTCAAGAATTTTAACGATTCGTCGAAAAACCAGACTCGACTGCTACCAACAAACACAAACAAACACAAACAAACAAAAAACTCTCTCTCTCTCTCTCTATTGCAAACAACCGCGTGCGATTTCACAATTTTGGAAAGTCCTTCCCTCCCTTCCTCCTTTCCCTTTCCCTTTCTGGAAGTAGTCTGACAAGGACGTTCTTTTCTTTATAATATTACTTTATATAAAAAGCAAAAGAATTTTTCTTTCGACATTAAAATGAGCAAAACGATTTGACCTTAACATCCGCCGCATCCATCCCGAAATTCCCGAAAAGCAAAAAAAAAAAAAAAAAAAAAAAAAAAAACACGCAATTGTTTTCGTCCGCCATTTCTTCTTCTTCTTCTTCTCGATTTTCCACGACGAAAAAAAGGAAAAAAAAGCCAATTATTATTATTATTATTATTATTATTTTTCTTTCATAACCTTACGACACGTTAAATTGTCGTCGTCGTCAAACACGCCACATGTTCCATTCCCGTAATGGTACAATTTTTTTTTTTATGTATTCCACGCAGCATCCCCGCCTAAATAATAATAATAATAATCACAATCACTTCCGATTCAATTCAAAAACTTTTTTCGCGTATTAATTTAATGCGATGAATCCGACCGTAAAGAATGCACTAAATAAATGAAATTTAAAAAAAAAAAAAAAAAAAAAATGTTTTTCATTTTTGCCCAAGATCGCCAACTCCCGTGTAACACAATTTTTTCTCCTCCCATTTTTTTTTTTTTTTTTTTTTAAATAAAAAAAAAAAAATAATGTTTTAAGAATACATTTTTTTTTTTTTTATTTAAAATTAGAACGCGTTTCATTTGATTTCGTGCCAACGAGAGTCCGCTCAACGATTAATATATCCCTCTTTTTTTTTTCTACGAAAAATTTTTAAACTTCTGAAATAGGAGATCCCTTCTCCGAATCGAATCCCCCGACGACGACGACGACGACGACTACGACCACGACTATTACGTTTTTCCTCTTTCCTTACTTTTAAAACTTTTTCTCTATTTAATAATTTTCTTCGGCCATCTCTCTCTCTCTCTCTCTCACACACACACATCATATGTTCCTTTTTAATTG